CACACACACACACAAATTCAGTTAACTGACGAATATGCATTGCATGAGATTGAAGCACGATGTTTTAAAAGGTTCAAGTCTTTTATGAACGAGGAAAATAGTGATATCAAGGACGGAAATCACTAAGGGTCATGAAAAATGCCAACTTTATATTGAAGTAATATTTCCGCACTCGATTTAGATCGTCATACCTGAAATTTACAAGGAGTATCAAATACTTCGTATGCTTCCGGTTGCAAATTAGAGGGGAAGTTTGGACGAGTTGATGCAACGTAGTGCGTATACCCACTCATTTCAGTTGTTCAGTAAACCTCGATGGTGACGCAAGGATATAGGTCAAAAGATGCAAAGGCTATAATATACGAGTCCATACGAGTACCATTTGCTCATTGTTCTAACTATTCTGACCACCACCGAAACAAAAGCATTTGCAACGATTTCATGGCATTTTCATAAAATCTTGCAGGAAATTTAAAACATGAATAGCAGTATATTGCGCAGAGGACTTGATCGATATCCTAGAATTACAGTTAAAAGAAACAAATACAGTGGGCAAAGTGGAAGCGACAGAGGAATTAGCTAATAGTTGGACAGAACGAACTGCTTAAAACAGCTCATTCTTTGCAAGTATTGACAACTCTTCGGTGATAGACATTTTCGCTGTCAGCTGGATCAATATCACTCCTATGCCTTTGGGTCCTTATGTGTTTCGTCGTTCCAAGTCCCGGGGCTTAGAATGCCGGTTTCAATCATTGCGAATTATGAGCATTGACGTTGCTGCTGTTCACCACACAACAGTACGTGAAATAAAAAGAAATACACGGTCAGGGCCTGGTTGAGATGTATGTTCATCCAGTAGTTGTAAGTCGTGCCTTACAGTTTGTTGTCTCTGATGGGTACAGTGAACATGCACCAAGGGCACGGATAGGTCGACGAAAGAGAGAGAGAATATCTGCATCCTTGGGTATGCTATCCGGCATGTGCTTGCCGAATAAATCATATTACTGAAAATGTCCTCCGAACGCACCCATTGCTCCTCTGGATTGCGAAGTTTTTGAAGTCATGGAGGAGACGCGCGGTTAGTCTATGCTATGACATGTCATTCCAACAAATACAGCTGAGTAATAGCGTAGATATCAGTTTAATTTAGCCATTGGTGTTGTACAAACCCATCCGTGCATGCGCATTATCATGCTACGGATAATTTTCCAATTATCGACATCACACTAATATGGATTGATGCCTGTGATAAAATGGTTGATTTAGCACAGGAGAGTGCAGTATTTGAGTGCCACTACTACGGACATCGGCAGCTGAATTACACACGAAAAATCAAAATTGGAAAAGACGAAAATCTAGCACACACTCACAATGCAAAGCGGTTCGATCTAAATCTTCGGCGTTTCGGACACCGGCCTCTCGTTCTGCCCGCGCCTCATCCGTGGCTGTCCACAGTTTGGGGCACTGGTGAGTCTCTTTTTGCTTGTGGCTGGGAGAGAAAATCGAAGGGGGGGGGATAGAATGAAGCTTTTGTCCAGCTTGAATTAGCACGTGTTGTAGTCTACCGAAAAGGAGTTAGTACTAATTGTTAACCGCACATCCCATTTCATTATCTGCTTTGAGGTTTAAAACATGTTACTCCACTTGACGTTTCAGGCTGAAAAGTTAGCTAATGTTTCACAGCAGAGAGAAAGAGTTATTTGATGTATGAAATATGCACAAGTTAAGCTTCGATTTATCAAATGTATATGAAAACGGCATCCCGATTTAGATTCGAGGGCTCTAATGGAAACCGCAATTGTAAGACATAATGATAAAAACGTAAAACGATAAGTTCCAATCGAACCCATCTTCGCTTGGCGTTCGATTATCTCACCAACTGCGTTCAACGAAAATAACAACACTACCACTGGAACGAGGGAGCCCACGGAAAAGAGATGCATTGCACTAAAGGACAAACTTTTTCTGTTTCTCATATGCATTCGTCCAAATTTCTCGACTTTTCGTGGTGGTAATTGTGCGCGTTTCCTCCTAATTTCTTTAAATCAATCGATCACTTCACCCTTGACTAACTCACAAATCAGTCTCGGGGACGGAACGACGAGGTGGCTCCTGTTACCTGAGACATATCCACACACTCTGGAAGCTCATTCTCGTACACTCAAGGCCATCCAATTGCACGAAAACAAATTTCACTCGAACACGTATTCGCATGGTAACAGGGCTTACATGCAGTACAATATTTTAAGCTGTTGATCATCGCAACAGAAAACCGATGACGGATATTCAAAATGTGGGGCATAAACGTAGATTCAAATGCAGGCAACATACTATTAGGCTACGTTGGGTTTGCCAGTGGTAACTAAAGCACGCTATGAGCGCGTAATGGAAGAACGCACTTTGTGTAGTTAATTGCAACTGGAGAAAGAGAAGGTAAGGGAAGTTGTTTTTGGTGGCCTATTAAGCAATTATTTGAACTCTCTCCGCTAATGATATCATCGTTTCAGAGATTATTGTTTGCTTTCAGGTACAAATGAATGTGGTAAATTGTAATCGCTAAAGCTAGATATATCTGGTTAACGGAGGTGCGGTGGAACCGCTGTATAAAACCGTTCTTTATGCAGTCCATCACATGTGTTTTTCGCTGCACCATCCGCAGATGGCTAATTTTGCCAGATGGAGGTACATATCACATGTCACCACACTGTACGGGAGCACCTGCTTCCGTTGATACAGTTCATCTAATTACAACCCAAAGCACTTTCTTTTTCTTCGATTATTAATTCAGAGAGCGAACTTTCATACCGAAGGATTTCATACGTAAACAGCACGAACTGGGAAGAAAACGAATGAGATGTCTCATTCATATCTGGATGCCATAGAGAAGATTACTGCTGTGTTATGCATGTATTGGCTCGCCGTGCTGAACCTTCCGCCTTGTATATGTAGTAAAAGTAGCTTTGTGTACATGTAAAAGAGATTTTCACGTCGATTGCTCCTGCTCGTGTAATCAATCACCAGGAATTTATGTGAAGCGAGGTAAGTGGGGGAATAGCACCGGACTGTATCTCCCTCTATTGGTTCTGTGTTTGTACCGCACAAAAGATAGAACAATTAACCTCTCATTTCTTTATCAGAATGTTGATGGGCAGCGAACATTCACGAAACATATCGAATTGTTTTGCCTTAAGCAATAGCGCATTAGCCTAGAACACCGCACAATTATGCTCCATTTCTCGATACTGATTTTAGTATCGATAAAGAAATCTCATTAAAAGCTCCCAAATCCTCGAAGAATGGATTTGGAGCCAATCGAATATCAGGTCGCTCTGTCCATAATCTGTTCAACTCTCAGTTCTGGTGTCTAGGTAATCAGATTAACGTCTACTTACCCGATACAAAATTGTCCTTTGCAAGCTTCACACTCTAGCAGTAACATCTGGGTCTTCGTGCAGTCGGAGAACTGACAACGCTGCTGGCACGTGCCTGCCTCGGCATTAGTCACTTCATCCTGCACGTTTCGTGACGGTGCCTGACATTCATGAGCAGTCACAGAACTGTGAATTTTACTGAAAAGCAAACATGTGAAACAGGACAGGATATCACAGCTATTGGTAGAGAATCAAAATCATTGGTTAAACATGTGTGGTTGTAAGCTGACAGCTAAATTAGGAATTTACCGAGCTAACTTTATTGCATCGGCCATAGGAGTGTAGCTAATCCAGACGATTATTGGATCACAATCCTGGTCGGCTGTGGTCGACAACTAGGGATAAACAGGCTTGGTTTCGTTTAATTTCTCTAAGGCCTTCAACCGAGTCTGGCACGAAGGTCTGCTGTCGAAATTATCCACGTTCGGATTCCACCCGTCTCTCGTATCGTGGTTTCCTCGGCAAGCGAGACATCTCCGTCACAGTAGATGGATGGGGTCCTATATCCGCCGTTTCCTGTAAACGCCGGTGTTNGTTCCCCAAGGTTCCATACTTTCGAACACCTTGTTCCTCTTATTTATCAACGATCTTTTATCCCAACCATCAAATCCTATCCACTGCTTTGCTGATGATGCCACTCTCCATTGTTTTCTTTCTTATCCCACAATCCGTCAAGCTAATACGAACATCGATCACGATCGTAATGTCATTAGTGCTTCCCTTGCCTCCAATCTCGGACTAAACTCCGTATGGGGTTCTACCAACCATGTGTTTCAATGTTTCCAAAACTTCTCTCACTCACTCTTAAACATTTCTCCTTTTCTCCTCAATTGATTTTTGATTCTCTGTTCCTTCGTTCCACAAATTCTCTTTTCCTCTTGGGTTTATCCATAAATTCTTCTCTCTGTTGGTCCCTTTTTACCTCTACACTTGCCTCTCGCGCTGCGCTCAAAGTTGGTTTTCTATTCCGCGTAAGGCGTTTCTTTACACCCAAGCACCTTTTATACAAAGCTCTAATCCGCCCGATGCTTGAATACTGCAGTCACGTATGGGGTGGAGCTTCGTATTTCGCTCTTTCTCTCCTCGACCGTGCTCAACGTAAAGCCATCCGGCTGATCGACGAACCGTTTTTAACTTTCACCTTGCAGTCGCTTTCCCATCGCCGGACGGTCGCTTCGTTATCTCTTTTCTATCGTTACTATTTTGGTTTCTGCTCTTCCGAACTCGCTTCAGCGGTTACCCTTCCTTTGACCTTCTGTCGTCCACCTCGTTCTCAGG